CACAATTGATAAAAAAATATTATCCAAATGCTTTAGACGTGGTTTGTGATCTTATATGATGCTGATAAAAGATAACAAAGAATACATTTATTTATTTTTAACCATATACTGATGCATTTTCGCATGAACGTATAACGTAGACTAGACAGACACGGTTGGTATTGGTAGTACTGTTGCATCACAGGTCCAGTCCAACAGGTTTCCGATGGTGTTTGGTGAAACACTCCCCCCTAGGGGTAATATCAAGTCAGTGCAGTCAGCCAAGAGAAGTAAATGTGTGCTATAAAGAGGCTTTAGTAATAAGTAATATATATGTAATTTAGTCATAAGTAAATCAATTAATACATAGATATATAGATTTATATATGAAGTTACGATAAAGGTTGAGTTTAGGTGTAAAATTAAGGATGTTATGATATGCAGGTCGAAATGGTTACATTTGGAGTTAGGAGCGGTTATATTTAGAAGTTTAGAGGCTAAAATAATTAAAACAGTGTCGGTTAATCTAAATGTATTAAATGTAAGGTTTATTTTAGATTATTTTATTAAAGATGATTGTTGGTGATGTCATTTAATGTGTTATACAAACTATATATACATGCATAAACTAAATAATACAAAAAATGTATAAATATAGGCCTAGCAAGAGAAACATAACATCCTTATATATTTATTTGTACATAGCATATATACTGTAAATTGTACAAACAAAATTAGCCTATTGTCATTTTAACTGAATTTGAGATGTACAAAATGTAAATCAAATTTCAAATGATAAAAATTTTATGAATTATATCTATTAACTAAACTTTCTAGCTTTCTAGTCAACAGTTAATATTATAATCAAATAATTGCATCTGTAACATAATATGAACTCTTAAATTCAACTGCTAGTGGTATGGTACTAGGCCTATGGAGAGGGTTAGAGACACACACACACACACACACACACACACACACACACTTCCTAAGAGCAGATAAAGGGAAGGCACCCTTAGGTGTCTTCATTGATTGCTACCTTTTCATATCTCTCTCCACACTGAATATTTTGAAGACCTGAGCTTCAAACGCTGGATTAGCACATTCAAGAGCTCCCCAATAACCACCCATAAACGTCCACATCAATGCTGATGATCTAGATCTAGTTCTGTCCTCAAAATACTGAAGCTGATGAAATATATCTAGTTCTGTCCTCAAAATACTGAAGCTGATGAAATATATCTAGTTCTGTCCTCAAAATACTGAAGCTGATGAAATATATCTAGTTCTCTCCTCAAAATACTGAATCTGATTACATATAGGTCTGTCCACATCAAAACACTGAATCTGATTTAAACTATTCAAGCGTGTCCATACCAAAAGACATTCTATTTGAAACTTGTTTCATCTCCACCATAATTATGATTGAACCCATCCATGTTTGTCCGCAGCACAGATCCTATTTCTAATACATCCCAACTTTGAAAACAAAAAAGACTAAACCATAACTGTGAGAATGGGTTCTGTGGTTTATCTTTATGTAGACATTGGTCAAATAAGAAACAGTACATTTGTGTCTTTTTGTTTTTTACTATATCTTGGACATTAAGCCTTCGCTTCTCTGTACAAGCAAAAATTAACACCATCTTATACTACAAACTAGCCCACATTCAACTACTAAACAGGCTTAAGAAAATACCTTTGAGGGGTGACCCATAGAAAACAGAGTTCCCTTTGTCTTATATCTGCCAGTAAAAGTCAACTTTAGTAAACAAATGTGTATTTTTGTATCAATTTGTATGTCATTTAAGAATTAAACAATTCCTGTCATTCAGAAAAGTTATCAATGTAGTAAGACGAAAATGGCCAAGGAAGAATCTAACTAAATATAGAGGCACATTCAATATCTGTACAATCTTAGTGACCCGATTAAAACACCATGCAGGTCATCAAAACAGGACAGGAATCACGTCGGTTTACATCTGTCCATCACTTGTAGCGCACACACCAACTACAGTTTCCGTGTGTATCTGTCTGGTATGTGACATGCGAACCTTGTGAAAACTGTGAACAATTCCTGCTCAGCTAGTTGACAACAGAAGCGTTCTGCTGGGTGAGTGAACGCTTTCACCAAACAAACCAAAAGCAAAAGTGTCAGAAGCCGACAGAAGGAATGCAGAGAAGATTGCTCAACAGACTTGTTCATCTGTACTTGCAGGAAGGAACGAGAACAAAAAAACAACAAATTACTTAGGACAAATATTTGTTAGTTTAAAAAAAAAAATCATGCACAGAATAACAGAAAATACGAACTGAAACCAAACTATACTACCAAGTAGAACGGTAAATATTTAAATTACACATCCGTCACGCAATAAAGTGTGATCTGGTCAAACAAAGTGCCACGACAGGTTAGAAGAAGCTTTGCGCTTTTCCCAGTTTTAAAACGTTTGTATTCAGATTCGGCGGTCCGTCGACTCAGAAAGAGACCAAAGGGGACCGAGTTTTAAAACGTTTGTATTCAGATTCGGCGGTCCGTCGACTCAGAAAGAGACCAAAAGGGACCGAGAGTGAGTTTGTTCCAGTTCGGTCCGGTGTAATCCGGTTCAGTCCATTTCCATGTGAAGAACGTCTGGTGGCAGGACGAGGGAGTGTTCCCAGGCCTTGGAGGGATGTGATTGGATGGGCGCCATTTAAAGAGCGTTCTGCTCAGCTGGTGGTCAGCTCGGACACGGCGGGCGGGTCCAGGGTCTCGGCGATCTCTCCGAGCTCGTCCAGAAGCTCTGTGAATGCCGGTCGTCTGTACGACTCCAACTGGAAGACAGGAAGAGAAGTGGATTCAAAGGAGCTCCTATTTCACCGCCAAGTGTCATGTTGATCAGCCACAGCGGTCTGTGGCTGGCGGCCATATTGGCTAGTTGGATGTGTGAAACCTTCTAGACTCTTTGGGGAAGCCATGACACAACTCAGTGGAAACGCCTCTAAATGCTACCTGGGTGGGGAAATTGAATGCACAACAAAAAATGCTGCATTGAGTTGTCATTGACACAAGGTTTAACCACCCAACTAATCAATATGGCCGCTAGGTGAATAAGGTCTATTACAAGCCATTCCAAAATTGACCCTCTAGTGACATCACACTTGGGAGTGTCCAACCCAGATGTACGATGGATAGGTCAGCCTGCCAGTCTCCTACCCAGTGGACTGTACCAACTGGTTAATCTTCAGGTGGCTAGACTGGAACTGACATTAAACCACTAAACAGTTGATACATTTACTCAAAGTTTAAACTCTTTTAAAGGATCCCTATATTGAAACTGCTTGCTGTATATTTTTCATGGATTAACATGAAAAATTGAACTATGGATTAAAGATCTGAGCAGCTCTCACGAAACCCAACTTAGCACAACATAGCTGGTGAGAAAACATCAACAAACTTCACTCGCAAGGAAACAAAAACTAGATTACTTTCTGAGAAGTAGCTTCACGTCACGTAAGTCATTTGTTTATTATCCTTGTGATGATTGCTATAATGTACATTTGCTTCTGCTCTATTGTATATCTCTTTAAATTGCTTTGTCTGATTTGAAGATCAGAGGAATATCCACCAGCTACTGTAGCTGTTCCCCTCCCTTATCTAACTAAAATGGAAGCAGTCTCTGTATGACTCGCTCACATGGCGGGTGTATTGCTGAGGACCGAAGGAAGTGCAGTGCTGAGTGTGAAGTTTTTCGGATGAGCGGTTCTCCAGAAAGCTGCAAGCAGCGATATCAGAGGCGAACAGGCACGCTTTGAACGGGCACTGCACTAGTATTTCAAATACTGTGAATCCAAGAATGTATTCTGCCAGGAGCCCTGAGACTACATTAAAAAAAAACGTGTTAATTAGTCATTATGTTATCGTTGGCTTGTGTTGTACGCACCAGACAGCAGCTGGACGCCAGCTCCAGGACATGCTGGGGACAGCCGATCACCAGCTTCCCGAAGGCCTCTCGATCCAGACCGTAGTCCTGCACACAGCAGGGACCAGCGATCACATATTTTAGCTGAAGCTCTACTATGTTGCTGCCTAGTACTGTCTGTTTGTGGCCCGGGTGTTGATAAAATAAGCACAACATATATATATATATATATATATATTAGATGGGATAAAATTAAATAAATGAATAATAATTTAAATAAATAAAAATAAGACGAGTACAAACACAAATACGGGTGAATTTTGGAAAGTAAGAAGTTAACCAAAATCCACCAATATTTGTATTTTTATCTCTACCTGTGTTCTGGGAAGTATTTCTGGATCGGCGGGAATCCTGGCGAGGATTTCACATAGAACGATCCCGAAGGAAAACACATCCACCTGCCGAGAGCAGAGACATGTCATCTATAGTCTCTACGTCCTAACTTAGCATGTTGCTAACCCACGTAACAAGATATCAGCTAGTTTTTGTAGTCAAAATAACGTTGTGTTATTGTCATGGTTCTTTCCTTTCAATTGACTGGATTGAAAAGATTTTTTCGGATGCCATGTCATTTTGACTTGACTTTAATGCAATTTCTGAAATGTTTTAATTTGCGTAGATCAGTTGGATGGATTTATTGATTACAATGTAAAATGACTAGGACTACTACTACTACCAATAACAACAACAACAACAACAACAACAACAACAAAATAGTAACGACGAAAAATAATAAAGACAAAAAACCATCATTTTAGAAACACTGTTTTCGGGTCCCCTACCTTGCGGTCGTACGGTTCTCCACGCAGCATCTCAGGGGCCATCCAGAAGGCGGAGCCCACCAGGGAGAGCTTCCTCTCGGGGTCTTTCACCGGCAGCTCCACCACCTCCCGGGCCAGACCGAAGTCTGTCACCAGGGCCTCCCTGCCCCGGGTACTGACCCGGATCAGACAGTTCTGCAGACCACAACGTTACGCGTATGAGTGTATGGATGGTAAGTATCTAGAAACTAGCTTGTGCAGCTACACAACTTTTTTGGATTGTTTTCAGTCTCACTGTGGTCGTGTCTGGCTCAACTGGTAGAGCAAGGCATTAACACTGCCAGGGTAGGGGGTTCGATTCCCACCCATGCTATTCATGTATGCACTCATGGTATTGTAAGACAATTTGGATAAATGCGTCCCCCAAATGTATTATTATTATATTAGCTTTGGATGCTAAACAACTAAATGTAACTGTAGGTACATCACTATCGCCAGCAGAGGGTAGTATAGGGTCGATATCCTCCCCCTGGATGGAAAGGTCATGAAAGCAACTTATGTTGCATCAATCCTCCTCCTCACTTTACAATCTAATAATAGCTTTCTTTCTCACACCTTCTCATTTGCATTTTTGGCCTTTCCACCCTGACCAGTCCATCCATCCAGGTCTATTCAGCCATTGTAGCGGCTTTACGGTGACAGGAGAGACAGTTTGTTCTGTAGCCAGACGGACGCCCGCTGAATGGAGTCTGGCGTCACCGGCTTTATCCGCGCGCTAAATAATTCAGTCCTGGACCGGAGCGCTATTGACAGACACAGAAACAAGCCAAGCACTTCTAGAAGCCGCCGCGGGGGCACACCGCACACGGCGGAGGCCGACCCGGGGTAATGACACGTCACGCAAGCGTGTTGACGTGTGAGCACAGGTGAGCCCAGAGCGAACACAGGCGCCAGGCCAGGATAACAACAACTAGTTGTTTTCTACAGAAGAGAGGAGTTGTGTTTGTGTGTGGAGACTATAGAAACAGAGACTCAGCACCCTCTGTGTCAGCTTGACTTCAATTCCTGAAGGGGACACACCCCCTTTATCTCTCTCTCTCTCTCTCTCTCTCTCTCTCTCTCTCTCTCTCTCTCTCTCTCTCCATCTCTCCCTCTCTCCTGACATTATACACGTTTTCTCCCAGGGCAAGGTGACTCTCATTCATAGCCACTAAATTTAGTGCCGCCCCTGCTTCTTCCTCTTTCATAATTGAATGTCCTCCTCCATCTCTCTCTCCCCCCGCTCTCTCTCTTTCTCTTTCTCTTTCTCTCTCTCTCTCTCTCTCTCTCTCTCTCTCTCTCTCTCTCTCTCTCTCTCTCTCTCTCTCTCTCTCTCTCCCTCCCTCCCTCCCGAAAGAGAGAGAGACACAGAGAGAGAGAGACACAGAGAGAGAGAGAGCGAGAGAGAGATGGAGGGAGAAAGAGAGAGAGGGGAGAGAGATGAAGGAAGACTAAAGGCACGGCTGAAAAGTTAAAGTAAAAAAAACGTGTGTGTGGGAGGGGGTGGGTGTTTACTGAATCGTTGGTATGGCAACAGCACACACAGACACAGACAACCACACACACACGCACATGTGCACACATACGCACATGGCTCTGTGCACGGTGTGTATTAGCATGACAATAGGCAGGCTGTGTTGGCTTGTCCCACTGCATTAACCTCTTTCACTTTTGTTCTGCGAAACCTGGCAACCCAAGTTATAGAAGGCCACACACACACCCACATAAACAAAGGGTGTTGCAAGGACAGCTAGTTAAAGATCACATCACTAACAAGGGTGAACGTTTCATGTTTTTGGATTATGACGTACAAGTTGTACTTGCTGTTGTTCAATAGTTTTTTGTTTGCAAGGTATTGAACCCATTCATAAATGGGTCCCCCCATGTCATAACATGAGAAATCTCAAATGTTTGAATTTTAAGTGTAAGTGGATGAACCCCTGTTTCAGCTCAAATTCAAACAATGAGATTTTATAATCTACTAAGAGTCCTAGGAAGGAGGGTGGGATGTGTTATCCCCATAGCTACGACCCACGCCAACTTTGTGATACTTTTTAAAGCTAGTACCGTCATTGTGTATGAGTGTTATAATGACAAAAAAGACTTTGGGTTCACTGCCCCTTTAAAATGAGCGTAAACAAGGGTCATATTCTTTTTTAGAAACTTGGCTGCACAGCACAGGGAATTTCTTGTCGCTACTCCAACTTTGTCTGTTTTGATTGTTTTCAGCCTCACTTGTAAGTCGCTTTGTATAAAAGTGTCTGATAAGTGAGTTAAGTAAGTGGCAATTAAGTTAGGTACCACTGATCATTCATTAGCTTGCACTTTAACACACAATTGTACATATGCATTCATCACTACAACATGCTTGTTAGTAACAAGCATGTTGTAGTGATGAATGCATATGTATGTATGAATGCATGCATAGGTAAGAGTTATATGTAAGTTGTTACATATTACATATATATACATATGTATTCCGTCCTTTATTCTGCTTTTATTCTATTGTCTTGTAAAGCACTTTGTAACCTGCTTTCGAGCAGTGCTTTACAAATAAAGTGATTATTATTATTATTATTATTATTATTATTATTATTATTATTATTATTATTATTATTATTATTATTATATACATTTGTCTAATTGTATATAATAAGCCAGTGTTATGTATACTATGTGTGATACTATGTGTGTCTGTGTGAGAGCTCCTGTTGTCAGGTGCTCACCTTGGAGTTGAGGTCTCGGTGGTAGATGTTCTTGTAGTGGAGGTAGATCATGCCCCTGCTGATATCACAGGCCAGCTCCACCTTCTCCCTCCAGCAGAGAGCCACATCCTGGCTGGCCAGCAGCTCCTCCAGACACCCCCCGTTCACATACTGGAGCGAGAAAACAGGGAACGTGCTTAAACAGGGTATCTGCAGGTTTCAATCTGTTCAAATCAATACCTTTTTAATACCACTTAGAATCCAATTTAATACCGATTTCACGTCTCAACAGCGTATATTTTTAATACCACTTAGAATCCAATTTAATACCGATTTCACGTCTCAACAGCGTATAGGTAAATGACAGTCCTCAACCTGGAATTCTTTATAAGTATACAAATGTATTGACAGTGCAATATAGCAGTGCTGCTTGTCTGACAACAAAAGTATCCTGCACACGCATGAAGTAATGGAGCCAGTGCAGTGGTCAACACAGCTCGTGAATGCTGCAGGAAGCAAATAAATATCTATTTCACATACAATACTTAAACGTTTGACATTTATTGCAGTCGTCGAAAAATCATTAAGACCTATGCAAATTATCTTTAAGAGGCCTTAAATTTACATTCTTTAATTTATGACTTTTTAATCCTTTTAATACCTCCGTGGGTGAAAAGTCGATAAAAAACAATAATGAAGGTAACTAATATCTGATCAACAACTACTCAATAACTGTGGTATAATGTAGGATCACACATTGTTTTCCAATAATGGGACAGCCCATCGTGGTTTATTCCTCAATTATTTTTATTATTAGTAGTAGTACTAGTATTATAGTTATTATACATATGATCATTATTGTTGTTATAATCATTATAAATAATACTGTTAATACAGTTTGAATTAGTATTACCAATATTATTGCTTATATTTGTACTACAAATATTAGTATTATGTATTACTATAATTAGTACTCCACCTCCTTTACTTCGATTAAGTGGTCCAAAGCATTTATGTTCAAATCGTACAAATGCAATGACTGTAAAATATATTAAATATATTAAAACATAAGCAATAGATTTTTATTCACTCTGGATTTCTTCAACAGTAACCTAGGTGTGTTGCGTAAAAACACATTAAACTAATTTCATAATCTTCCAGGCTTCATAAGTAGTATACTGTAATATATGTATTTTCCATCAAAGCGTCTCAAGAGACGCTTTGTGTGGTGTGTCTATTTTCAGCGCATATGAATCACACCTTTGTGTCCATATGCTAAGTGTTGTGTGCTGTATGTAAGGCTGACAAATCTAGCGATGTTCATCTCTGATTAAACCATAATGAAAACTATTTGGGACTGTTTATAAAACATTTGATGGCTTTTAGGCTTGTATTTAAAAAAAATATTGAATACACTAATGTGAGAAAGGAAATATTTATTTATTGAGTTATATTATAATATAGACAGGAAATAATGAAATAAAAGTTCTCAGTGCATTTGCCATTCAAATTGCTTGTATAACCGATTATACTTTATTCTAATTCAACGTAGTTTTATCACCCTCTCAAGATTGATGAATTTCATCTCCGGTTTTGTCTCTTTGATATTCACCATCAAAAGCAATTAATTGATGCCAAAGGGGAAATGCAACCATTCAACTACTCCTGTAAGTGAATCACATACTATTTGTGTAGTTGTGTATTCTGTTGTCATGAGTTACCACGATGATGTGTGGCAGGTTGTGCAATCCGCACACAACCAGTGAGCTAACCACGCGCACAAGGTAGATAGCACTCACCTCTAAGATGGGGTACAACTTATCTTCTTTGACGCATATGCCGAGATATCTGTAGAAAAAAACATTTCAAATAAACAAACATTACATATGCCAAGATAACTGTAGAAAAAACATTTAAAATCAATAAATATTACATTTGCAGAGATATCTGTAGAAAAAAACATTTAAAATAAACAAATATTACCAATGTTACCAACTACTTTGTTTTTTTTCTAATCACACACTTTTAAATACTTCTTTTGGCATTTGGTATGGGGCATGATAACAATGAATAGGGCGTTTGACTCCAAGCCAAAAGATACTGGGTTCGATCCCCAATGTCCACAACCTTCAGCAGTAGGGTTTAGGGCATCCTAGAGCAAGATGCCCTTAACCCTACCTGCTCCTTTTTGCATGTATCTAAAATGTACTGTCATACATACTAAATAGGATATTTAGATACTATTTAAGTGACTAAATATTATATTTAATGATACTATTTATAAATGACTAAATAGTATATTTAGGTACTTCTTAAATGACCAAATATTATATTTAGTTACACTATTTAAATGACTAAATAGTAAATACTAAATTGTATATTTAGATACGATATAAACTACTAAATAGTATATTCAGATACTATTTGAATAGAGTTCAACTTAATAGGGCCGGACTAGAGCTTGTAGCTGTGTCAACTTTCATTTCTATGGCCTTTCTTTTTCATTGCAGATCTGATTTGGCCTGTAGCCTACCGTAATTAACCTTTATTCTTTATCATCATCATGATCAATACTGAGTAAAATACTATGCTATCATTAGTTTTGGTTTGTTTTCTATTATTTTGTTTTTTTT